CTAACAATGTCGCGCTCATGTACAATAACGGAGTCTTGGAATAACGTACGCAAGTACTTTGGGTAAGCTAAAATTAGCGTCGCCATGGGTTTTATATTTCGACACTAATTTTAAGGTACCCAAAGCGTCTGCGTACGTTATTCCCAAACTCCCTTATAGTGAACTAAATATTCTAGAGAGCGATAAATCAGACAGGTTGGAAGGCATATGCTTGCGACTCTATTGGTTTTACAATTTCAAACATTGAACCCTCGCGCACACAGACCAGAAAATGCAATCGCCTTGTTGAGGAACAGGGAAATCGTGCCATCGGAATTCTGACAGCTTGCTATCTTTCGCTGAGCGCGTTGGTGATAAAGTTAAATACGTGAAAGAATAGAACATGAAGGACGGACAAAACAACACAGATGCGTTCTTTTGTCCGTCCTTTATTTTTATTCTTTAAAATATTTAACTTGCTATCTTTGCTGCCCCACTTGTGCCCCCTGGCCCGCATGGCCGCAAGCTGCTGCAAACGATATTTTTATCAAGGTACGTCTCATCCCGTTTGATCAGATCGATGAAGCTGTAAATGTTCGGATAAGCCCTCCCTGGCAACGCGTTTATCTTACGGCGCCGGGACTCCATGTGGTTGTCGGTCGGTGGTCCCCAGGTTTCGTGATGGTACCAGTGTTAAATTAAAAAAATGGCCATTCATCCAGGTGCCATCAAAATAGTCAAGCACAGTGATAACGTCTAAGACACCGAGGGCCTTCTTGACGCAAAAAAAAAAAAAAAAACTGCCATGCACGCTGGACGCCAGGAACTGGAACGAACGACCGCTCCACCATCTCTCTACTAAGGGATGTAATAGTCTATCATCCTGCCCCTACGCGGACTGGAGGCCGTATCTTTGCACTGCAGGCCACTCTACTCCCCTTTTTGTGCAATGGAAATGGCACCCACGATGGATTCCGGTTGGGAATACAATCAGCATGCCTCTGATCAGTGCCTGCTCGAAGTCTGTAAGGTCGGGATTCGGAAACTCGACGCCTGCAGCAGGGAAGACATCCCACAAGTTCTGAAATGCTTGAACATATTCCTCGCGAGATCTACCGGACAAGAAGAAGTACATTGCGGGTGAGTGTTTGCCATCCGATATGACATGAATGGTCAGGAGTTAATAAAAAAATTTGAGGCACAACGAAAATAGGGTGGTGCACGAAAGCACCCGATGCCAAAAGCCCCGTGTCAAATGCCCGCGGCAAACGCCTCGGCCTTCTTGCCCCGCTCTCAAAATCCCCAGTTTTAGAAGCCCTTTACGCGAATCCCTCGTCTCAGGTGGCCGGGTCCTCACCACGAGGACGGTGCATTCTGCATTTAACTGAGGCACTGTAAGTGGGCACGCGAGCTTGTGTAACATAAGGATGCAGCACCCGGGACTCAAGTAAGGAATAACTGGATCTTGCCGTTCTTCAGGCGTACCCTACATAGGCGTAGACTACGGGGGGGCATCGGGGCTCGTGCCCCCCCCCCCCCCCCCCCTCTCCCCGGGCCCGGGCCATGATCCTTACCGAGACGCTGTTTACGTGCCATGTAACGAGCTTCCTATAGTGGTGGTATGTAAACAAAATAACGCCCACGTTGCCTTTAATGACTAAATACACGGGAAATGGAATTCCAGCGTACTTTCATTAGCTTCAATCTCCAGTTCTGGCGAGAAGGTAACGCGCAGCAGTCTTTGACGTCCAAGAAAACTTCCGGTTCATAAAAAAAAAAAAAATTAACAAAGCCCACCCTGACACTTCTGTTTGAAATGTAAATGAAACGTTTACCCACAAATTCTCCAGGTGAACGTCAAAAGAACGAAGGAGTGCGAGATCTGTCAAAAACATTTGAGTATTCTTGTAAACCAACTTGCCTCCTCCAAGATGTACTATTGTACTGCCGAAAGCCCTCGTTAAATCTTCAACTTTGTTGTCCGTGTAGCATTTGTGCTTTCTAGCAATGGTGACATAAGCAAGCTCAAAACAGACTTGCAAAGACGGAGCGATTGGAAGTCGCTTGGGACGCAGGAGGGAATTCACGTTAGTAAACAGCAAAATGGCCAAATGATTGTCGAAATAAGAGTAAATGCATTGTACCAAAACGTTTTATATAAGAAAGGCTAGTGACGTCACTCCCCACGCCGCAAGCTGCCGTCGCCGCGGCAGCTTGCGCAACAGTAATCTTTGCCGGGAATGTATGCGGTGAGCGCTTACGTGCTTTGCATTGTTATCAGGATCGCCTTATCGTCAATTATGTGGTTCAGGTGCTTGTTTTGTGCATGCGCTTTATTGAAACGAATGTTGTGCTCTATGTTGTGTGCGTGTTATGAACTTTTCGCTTCAATCGCTGAAGGTTTGTTTTCCGTGAGGACGACGACGCGAAACAATCTCAGATATCCGACTTCTGGAGTCATATACAGCTTCGCTGTAAAAGGGCGGGACGTCTGCCGCGGGGTATTTGACACGGGGCTTTTGACATCGGGTGCTTTCGTGCACCACCCCTTCCCTGCACATAATTGGTTTAGCGATGAGAGAATACGTACTGAAACACGACGAGCACCATGACGTTGCGCTTTTGACGCTGTTTAAGTGGCCCCATCGGCTCATAGTGGTGGGTGCGCTCGGACCTCGGGTGAAACCACGGTGCAGCGTGCACATGGCCGAGAAGGAACTCTTTTTCGCTTTTCTAGGAGAGTCGAATTTACTCTTAGCCCCAGTGCAAAAGATAAGGAGGCCAACACGAGACCTTGTCGAGCCAGTCTCGCCCTAGCTCTCCCCAGAGCATTCCAGGGGCCCTAACCTGGACACTTGGTGAAAAAGTTGGCGAGAAATCTGGCGGCCCTGATTGACCAAGGTGGCACTTGACCTTGGCGCCGGCCAGTCAGAGACGCCGGATATCTCGCCAACGTTTTCGCCAAGTGTCCAGGTTAGGGCCCCAGGGGACCTAAACTCGTCAAACACGAAGTTGGGGCCGAAGTTAACGGAGCGCACCGACTGGACTATGGACGATACGATGATGACTTAGCGCTTTTGTCACCGGCGTTCAATCGGCGCGCTCTGCGAACTTTGGGCTTCAACTTTGTGCTTGACGAGTTTAGGGTCCCATGTCGAATATTTGAGAAACCAAGTGGATAAGCAGCCGAGCGCGGCTTTGCCGACTCATGCTCTCTCACAGTCTCGCTTGCTGGATGCGCCGACGACACGCTGCCCAGACAGTGACGAGGTGCCCGAAATGAGGCAATTGGCTCGCGGCGCTCCCCTTGATCGAGTTTAGGAATCGAGCGACGAAAACGCGGGTACTCTATGGATCTCACAAAGCTTGTTACCTTCTTCACAAAATATTTAGATTGGTTTACCCTCTAATGGTAATTGCCGCCAATACTGCAATTGCAGAATGACCCATCGCAGCATTAATTAAGAAGTGTGTTAACAGATTTGAGTTCATTGACCTACAGATCGCGACGGTTATCCTCCCATCATCCTGGTAAAATATTCATTTAAATCTTCGCATTAAAAAAAAAAAAAAAAAATATATATATATATATATATATATATATATATATATATATATATATATATATATATATATATATATATGAATAAAAACGAACACGCATATAGTTGATTAAAGATGAGAAAATATATCGGATTCAATATTATTATTTTTTTATATTCGTTTAACTTGGTATTAAGCTCAATACGATAACACTGCACAACTCTGCTTGATGTCCCTCTACCTGGAACGTCAATTTAAAATGACCAACTTTATACGTTGCTTGGCATTGAAATGCAGCTCGGTGTTCAAAATCACATAACGTAGGTGCATAAAAAAAAATTCGTTTAATATCAACATAGAAAAAAAAGAAAAGAAATATCCGAGGACGTATTTCCACTTTGTGGTTTTATTCAACGCGTCTTCTATGGCTGTCGGAACTGGTTGTCGCCTTTTTGTGCAAATTACCGGCGAGCAAAAAGATCCGTTTTCGAGATCGTCATGTAGGGGCCTCTTTCACTGATCTCGATCCACGCTTGGAATAGGGCCTTTCTTCAGCGCACGGGGGTCAAACTGGCCAAAAACAAAAATTGTAGTGACCCCCGTAACGTATTCGAGACACGGCGCTCCAGGAGAGGAACCGTCCTGCAAGAAAGTTTTTTCCTGTTTCCCCTTTCGAGTTCCGTGCGAATTCGAGTGGCCCCGAGTGAACGATAAAATCGCGCTCATATTTTATTCACGCGACGAGTTTTCTGGCCGTTCGCGCCGTAAGCCATAAACACCTTAATAAAATGCGTCGGTCGGCCGCGTCGCTTGCTTTCCAACCGTCGCGGAAAGGACTGGAAAATATCACAATGCACAATCTCCGGGCAATGTTCGCCAACGCGAAGGAGAGCATGAACATACTAAAACTAGGGCCCCTTAACTAAAACAAGTGTACTCTGCGAGCCCCCAACGGGGGGCTCGCAGAAACAGCAGCAGCTAGCGCGCATCCCCTTCCCCACACCTCCCTCAAAAAAAGAAAAAAAATTATATATATATATATATATATATATATATATATATATATATATATATATATATATATATAGTTTTGGTATCGGTGAACTGGGCGATTAGCAGGGAACAGAACGTGGGTGCGAGCCCAGAGCCTCTCCCGAGTCTCATCGGAGTTTTCGTGTCAAATCCCCCACACAGTTAGCGAGAGAAAAGAGCGCGGTACGCTTTGTGGTCGCTAGATCGCGGCACTTCGTAGTACGGAACTTGGTTCTCGAGCAATCCGCCATGTTGTGGAAGCTACGCCAAGGGTGCCGACAACCGAAAACAGTTGACGGACGCTCCTCTGCTGTCCTGTGCTCCGAAGAACGCTTTGATTAATCGTACCCTGGGCGAAAGAGAGAGGGAGAGGGTGAGAAGAAAAGAACAAAATGAAGACGGCTTCGAGGGAAAGGAAGAGAGGGCGAGGGGGCGCCGCTGTCGCCGCAGCAGCGCCGCGCTGCGGACGGCGCAGTCGAGGCTGCGATCGTCCGCTTTGCCGTGCTGCCCGGTTCTCGACAGAGTGCGGCGCCGCGCTACGGTTCCGCGGCCGCTTTGCTGCCCGGAGGTGAAGCGAGGGAATTCAGCGGTCGGTTCGTCCCGAACTCGAGGCCAGAGACCCAGAACAGGCTGCTCAAATCAGCGGAGTCATCGCGACGCGCGAAGCTACGCTGGAAGCGGCCAATTGGAGAGGGTGAGTTTGAAGCAGCGTTTTTCTGTATTATTTTTTCCCCCTCTCCGTTTTCTGGATTCGCACTGCATGACCTGTCATTTGGAACACGGCAACGGAAGACCGCAGTTGGCGTTTGACAATCGTGCAAGGTGTGGTGGAATCGTTCGAACCAGCCTCCGTCATCTATTGTCCGTCCCCTCTTCTTTGAGCGGTAATGAGGACTCCCCTACACAGAACGAGCACCCTCTCAGTATGGTCAGTGTCTGCGTGCGAGGTGCCGACGACCGCGGTTTTAAAAACGTTCGTACGTCCTGTCTAGATCTTAGTCATGGCCTCTCCTGGCACTGGCGAGGCTACGAATGACGCAGCAGTGTGTGATTCGAAACTTTTCGAAATGAATTTGACGGCGTGTCTAGTTGGAACAGAGTAAATGACTCGGGATGTTCTTCCTTTTTCGAAGTTGTGGGATAGCGTAGCCCGGCCCTTGAAATGTGTCATGACTCATGAGTAGCGGAATAACGGGCTTGTGGGCTGGAAGGCACCAACGACTGCGTAGAAATGTAATAAATAAATAAATAAAAAATTACATGGTCAAAGAACAAATTGAAAACCTGGCGTTATTTGTGTCCTCCGTATTCTGTAATCATATAGATACGGTGCACGTCACTGTTAGCGCAAACGCAACATTGGCGATTTATTTTTTAAAATTTTATTTCGAAAAAGCAGTATTTCGCACAAAAAAAGAAGATTGATCTTGGGTTTTATGGTGTATTATCGTTTTTGAGTTTTTATTTTTTATATATAAAAAGTATAAGTGCCAGATATGATCGCGAAATTAGTCAAATGCGCATTTGAAGACCTCCCGGCAAACCAGAACAGCATAAATTTGAGCCATTTTTCTCTGCGTGGTTCTTCAAATTGTGACGTCGGTCGCCATTCCATTTACAGGTAGACCTATAGCCGTCTCTCTCTCTCTCTCTCTCTCTCCATTACAGTCTTCTATAGATTCAATTTCTCATTGCAAATTATTAACAAAATATCATTTTTCCTGCCGCGAAAGTGTACCGCTACACTTCTATGGGCACATTCGAACGCGTTTTTAATGTAATTTGGGGGCGTCTTCGCAATTTGCGCACACAAATTTTTGTTTTAAATATTCTCATCTGACAACCAAATCGGGCTTGCAATACAATATGTAGAATGCAACTATCTAGGTTTAATTAGGATGTATATTTTATGAGAGAAAAAAAAAAGGAAAATGTAAGAACCTTTGTTTACCTCCTTGAAAACGTTGTTTGTTTTATGATGTTTAATTATTTTTAAATACACAAGGACTTGCACATATTATTTTTGTTCTTCGATGCACTCGGAGGTTTAAGAGGAGCGAATTAGTTTATTTTACTATAGGCTCTTTTAAGTGTGTTTCCATGCCCCATGTGTCCGCAAGAATTTTTTTTTTGTGCATGTGCATTGCATTTAGAACAAAAAATAAGCTACATAAAATATCACGCCAAGTTTATAAAGAGGACATAAAACACTTTAGAGTGTGGAAATTTTATTTAGTTATTATAAATAATAGAAAAAATCAACACTAGAAACAGCGCTGATCCACGCTAACTTCAACATAATTTAGCACTGAAGAAGCGCTGTGCTAGTGCTGTATCAGTAGTATAGCGTAAAGTGAGCACTGCATCAGCAAGGTGAGCACTTAACAAAGTTGATTACTATACTCCGTTCACCCTTAAAGGGATTGTCCGGTCAAATTTTGTAATCGAGAAAACAATCGAATATCATTGCTATTGCCTCGAGAAGCATCGTACATGCAATATCCCAATTTTATATGCCCCTCTGCGTGAGTAATTGAATTTATACTGCTCCAATCGCATTCTAGCGTAAACGCTGCTTTCGTTGGCAACACTGAAGCTCTGACGTCACAAAACACAAAGCGAGCATTTTTGTCTCGTTGTTTGTCTGCGACTGAACGCCTCAGCGTGCTTCGTTTTTGTTGTTGTGCTCGACTTGTTTCGTGGTTGGGTGATATCTTCGTTGCGCGGTTGGGTGCCACAACCACTGGGCAGCACATGCGAGCCAAGACATGACGTTCCACACTTTTCCGCGAGACGTGCAGTGACGAGCAAAGTGGATCGTCGTCGTGCGTAGGGACTGGGTTCCCGTCCAGATCGAGATCCTGCTTATGCAGCAATCATCTCACAGAAGAAAGCTACGAGCTGAGCTCTCAGCGGACAGAAGGCTTGTAAGCTGAGGTGTGATGCTGTGCCAACGATATTAAACTACGTCCACCCACTCCTCGCCCAAATCGGATCAGTCAATTTAGGTCTGTTCGATTCGCCTGAACTGGCTGAACTAGTTCGGCAGTGCAGGAACTGGTGCATTCAATTGAACCGGAAGTTGCACGACCGCTGCACTGGCGCGTTCGATTCATCCCAGTTCTGAACGAGTTCAGACCCAGTTCCTCAAAATCTTGCACCGGCTCCGGACTCGGTTTAGCGTCCGTGCAGAAGCAGACGACAAGAGCAGACGGCGATAGCAGAACTCCTCGTCCGTCTCTGCTCGCGGTGCCATTTTTCGCAGCGCTTGCTCAAGTGTCTGCGATGTTTAACAATAACGCCGATACGGAGGTTGCATTTCCTCTCATTTATGATAATAACGTACCCGCGGTGGAGGGTAGGAATTTGCTTGATTATGATATTCTAAAAGCGTTTTAGGCACCTGCTCGCGTAGGTTTGGCTCCCTGTAGTGAGTGTTGAAATATTGGCTCACGTAAATTGTTTCGTTTTGACGCTATGTGGGGATCCACAGTGTTGATATTCTTACCTACAGACACGGGAAAGGTATTGCCCTTTTGATAGTCTCCGCCTTCAGTTGCTCTTGGATGCATATTGACGACTCCGATACATTGCAGAGGTCTGGGATTTAGTGCGTTGGCACTCGCCTGTTCCCGTAGCTGAGCATAATACTGCATGCTTTGTCCGCTGGTATCTGTGGACGTCCACTAACGGGCCTGGGAAAAACACCGAGAATCGGCATTTTTTTGCCGATTCTCGCTTCAACTTGACGCCAAAGTTACGGTCGATAATTGTCTTGGCCAAGACGCTATCGTCAGGCCTTCGTTTTCGAGGTGACCGGTATACCGACCGCGCGCTGCCGCCAGTGACTCCCGACGCAAAATCATCCTGATGCCGGGAACCCATCGTCGAAATGCAAAGATTCCCTATGAGGGGCATTGGCCACTACCTTTTTGACTTGTAACCTACTATAGTTCAGAACTTCCTGGCCGAATCGAACAGACCTTGATTATGCAGCGAAACCGAAATCAAGCGCTTGGCCATCTCAAAATGATACCAGAAGTTGTATTTAGCACGCGTGCAGCCCGATATCTGTTTGACCCGCGTGTGAAAATGGAGCGTAGCTACGATTCACCAAGCTCGTACAAGGTAAGTGACGACATGCATTGGAACGGTTCGCCGTTTTCCTTCGACCCGCGGACGTCGCCTCTGAGGGAATGACCCGCAGCCTCATCACCGATCCAGTGGATCCGCCGAAATGTGTACCCAGATGCCGCTTCGTGTAGCTAAGTGCCGCTTCAGAGGCGAAATCTGCATCCTTTGCTTTGCAAGCGCCCCTTGTTCGATCGGCGTCCGTCGCGGTTGTGTTTGCGCGAAACGGCATGCGTTTGCTCGAAGCTTATGGCTGTCTGCGAGTAATATCCTGCTAAAAAGTGTGACTTTTTTGTACGTGCTTGGGAACTGCATTAAAAGAACCGTATTTCAGTAAGGTACTGCCTAGGAGACTATATAATTTGAAACAAAATACAAGATATCCATCGACCAACGCTTGTTATCCCGACCAACCGACAAACCTTTGCGTTTTGTGACGTCACGCAGCACCTACGGATGTCAGCCATTGACACTGGCGAAATTCGGGGTGCAGTTTCGTACCTAGGATCATGAAAGGTTTAAATAATAACGGGAGATCTTATATCAAAATAAAAATGACGTTTGTCTATATGAAGGTTCCCTCAACGTAACGAGCGCAAGAACTTAAGTACTTCCGGTTTCGACCGGACAATCCCTTTAATTGTGCTGAGAGTAGACTCTCCGCCTTCAGCGCGAGCCTTCTGCCCGTGCTAACACAAGTGTGAACGCGCAGCCGGCGAGGTCGCACAGATGAGAAGCTTCTAGTCTCAGCTTAAAGGGAAACAGGCAGGGTATTTATGCTCGCCAAGGTTTTTATTTGTATACATGACATATGAGAGCCCAACTACCCAGAACAGAACTTGCGGCTCAAAAAAAATTTTTTTTTTTTCGCCTGAGCGTGACTCGGCTCGAGTCGCGCTCACTCTCTTCTCCGTGGTCACGTGCGGTTTCAATGCTTTAGACACAACCAACAAATATAATTCAAAGTCGTGGGTCATCGAAGACACACACTCAACATTAAAAATTGAAAAGAAATATGATACCCATTTTTTTGCGGCTTCTGAAAATCCGCAAATACGTTGATTGAAAAAGAAAAAGTTGCCCAGCCGCGTGGCTTCCGCCAACTCTCTCCGCGCCATTAGTCGACGCTCAAAATAGCGCTGACCTTGCTGATGGAACCCCGACTTTGCGGTATATTAGTGATACAGCGCTGCATCAGTACTAAGTTAGATTCAAATCAGCGCTGTCCCTATAGTGTTGACTTTAGCGATGTGTTGTATGTGTGAACCGGCCTTCAAGGCCGACCCACCGAATCGTCTTCTGCCGGGCAGAAAATCGGTTCCTAGTTTCCTTCTCTCCACCCCCTCTCCCACCTTTCTCTCCCCACGGGTGCAAATTTCTGAGCTACTCCCCGAAGAAAGGAGGGGGGTCTCCCCCTTTCTCCGATAGAAATGGGGGATCGAGGTTGAGTTTCCTCCTTTCTGGCTGCTTGTCGGCCTTTAAGTGAGCGCTTTCCACCACCATATAATAGTTTTAATGACAATCTTTAGGTTTTAGAAGACTGGAAAAATGATTGTTCGCGCT